TCATTGAGCTACAGTCCCCCAAAATGCAATACCTACAAATGCATACTTGATGCCATCTTTCCTACTGTCCTTCCTCAGTGAGTTGTCTCAGAACAAACTTTTTAGGGTAGGGATCATGCATGTGTTTGTGCTTGTACAGTCCTCTGCACAGTGCAGTCCCTCTCCTGGCCACAGAAGGTTTCAGCGATATTAAATCATTATGGACTGGACCCAGAAAAGAACTGCCATTTTAAGCACCCAAGTCCAAAATTTAGCTCCTAAAAGCCTGAAGTCCCCAGGCACGTGTGCCTATGCCAGTGCAGCTGCCTACATGCCTAAATGTCTGCTGCTGGGTGTGTTCAGAACTGCTTACATTTTGACACTGCCAAATGGCTAAGCACCTCTCTCATGTCTGAACCTGATAGGAATTCACAGATGGGGTTTACACTTACATAAAACAACCCTACCACAGGAGGAATTGGTGGTGGTGCTAGTCGCAGCCCCTTTCACTTGTGCTCAGTAGTTAGAACATTCACATGTGAGAAGGTTCAAGTCCTTCCTTTTCCTTGGGAGACTTGAACCCGTATCATTCACTGTGGTAAGGAGGAGATCCTGATCTTTCTTTCTTTTTTCCCTAACCAATAACCATCTAACATAAAATGCATAAACACTTTTTGGAACAGGGAGCTGAAGCCAAGTAGTTTCCCCCTCCTCTCAAGGAATGCCCCTCTTCACAAGATTACAGGGCCAGGCCTCTCTGAGGATCATCACCTTGTTGTGGAGAGGCTTGCATTTTCCAGTGATCCTGAGAGTGATGCTGTCTGAGCTCACACTCCTGGTAGGGCCACCCATGGCAGTAAGGTTGAGGGGGAGGGTCCAGACAAAGACCGATACAAGAAGTCCTCAACGGCGGAGCAGGCAGAGGGAGGCTGTGGCCCCAACAGCTGTGAAGTCAGAAGAAGGCTGCAATGGAAAAGTGGCCCCAGTCATCATGGTTTGCCATGCCACTGCACCCACCAAGATTGCATGGACCTGACTGCACACCGGAGTCCCCACGCTAAACATGCCACATGCAGGCTTCCGTCAGGTTAAAAAAAGCCCTGTGGCGATGGAGGATTGGCAACAGGGGCAGGGCTGTGATACCTGGAGGCCCCCAGCCAAGAATCTGCACACAGGCAGCAGATGCACAATGGTCATGGGGCACCTGTGTTGAGACAGGAGTGCCCTTCAGCAGCTGCATTCATGGCTGAGCAGCCCTTTTTAGGATACCCTCTGCTCACCCTGATGGGGAGGGGGCTAGAAAAGATGCCCCAAAAATAGGCTGTCCTATTTTCCAGCGTGGGAAACCACATCCAGCAGGATAAGGAGAAGGACACCAACCTGGGGCTGCAAATTCCACTCCCCTGCTCAACAGCATGCTCCCATTGCAGAAGAATGTGTGTATCCAGAATCGGGCTCCTCAGTCACCTGAGGACCCATCAAGCTGACAGACATCATCCTTGACTTCGAGGGACCACCGACAACATAGCCAGGGTCTCTCTGGCTTGCTATCCTGATGTTCTCCTCCTCCCTGCCCAGCACGTACATGCTCCAGGTCACCCTTTGGAGGCAGCTCACTCTTCCATGCCTGCAGAAGGATTCTGAGTGCCTAAACCTGTCAATTTGGGTCACCCTCCTGGGGCTAAATGCCTAAACTGTGGGCACTGCTGTATCTAAGTAAGTGACACTAGCTGCAGGAATAATTTGGATCTGACTCTATGTGCCTCAGTGGCCCCATTGATACAGTGAATAAGACAAGGGCTCAACCTTGCATTTAAGAAGAAATGATTAAAACATCAAGGAAGGCATGATTTACTCATCATCAGGTAGCACAACATTTAAAATAAAGGCAAAAGAGCAGAGAGGAGGATGTCATGTTTGTGCTTTTAAAGCCCTTCCAGATTGCATGCCACACTTTTTAGGATGTACCTGGACCACCAGCCCTCCCAAAATCTGCATGACAGATTTTAAACCTGCCGCACATCCCACTATTTTAAACAACACCTCTTCTTCTTTGACCAAGGGGTGCCTCTCTCTATACCGGATGAGTCCTACGTAATCAAAAAGGTTCCAGAAGAGTAGCACACTGTCAGGGTGTGAGCTTTCACATCTTTTGTATGGTAGCATTCAGTTTACCATACATATTGGTTTATCAGAAGAAGACAAATTCTGATACAGTCTTGATGATTCCTTGTATATGCAGAGTGCAGTTTATTTTAATTAGTGTATAACTTGCATCTGCATAGACTTTTCCTTCCAATTTCCTGAAGGAGTATAGAAAAATGTATTCAGCAGAGTTGAACGATGCTGCCTATGGGAGTTAATCAGCCCATTTAGAGATCCTGAGTCAGAACCTCAGCTCATGTAAATCAATGTGTGGCTCCATTGACTGGAAAGAAGCTAGACTGATTTACACCAGTTGGGCATCTGGCCTTTTGTTCAGAGGGATGCTTTAGTACATGGGTTGAATTAGAACAAGGAAAAGCTGAGGAGAACATCACAGCAGTTTTGTACTTTGGAGTGAAATAAATTGAATATCCTATTTGGCTATTTTAAAATCTGGATTACTGAGGAGAAAAGTCCTTCATTCTTCTCTTGGAAAAAGATTTATTCTGCCATATATTTTGTGTGTTTTTGGCTATGTCATAAATGAAAGTCAAGGAAAGAACATAAAAATTAAAGTAGGTTCATCTGGAGCACAGTGCCCTCAATATGTCAACAGTCACTTTTTCAGCACTGGCTTAATAAATATAGAAGTCTTTAATGGCTTCTTACAGCCATTCAGTTGAGCTGACTATGATTTGTGCACTGTTCTTCAGTGGACTGTGCTTCTTTCTTAGCATTCTCCTTTTGAGCTTCATCATGATGTAGTCATTGCACTGTAATGTAACCTGGGTACACCCAAGGGTGTGCCCTATTCTCAGTTGAATGGGATGCATAGGCAGGAGGGGGTGCTGTGAGAGGGATGCCAGCATTTCAAGGAGATCACTCTTTCGTCTATAGAGTTAGCCCAAGCCCAAAGTTCTTAACTATGTACAATTTATTGAGTTATAATACACATAAACATAAAACTAAATATCATATATATATATATTTACACAATGAACACTAACCACTAACCAAGGTCAAACCCTAAATAACACTATTTACAACATCACAATACAACATTTCAATTACAAAATATAAGGCGCAAACATGAACAATCTTAATACCACCTATTCCTTAATATAGTCCCTGACCCATGGCAAGAGATAGTCCTCTTTCCAATGGGGTCCCCTGGGGGAATGTCCAGGAAGCACCAGGGGCCCCTTCCCTTAGGGCCTTGACTAGGCGAGGGTGCTGCTCACCCAGCCCCTTCTCTGGGTTTGCCCACCCCAAACATATTTCCCCTGTGGGACCCGATGGCCCAATGACTCACGGCCCCCCAGGTTGCAGTGGTCAGGGCGCAGCTTGATGGAGTCTCCTCTGCTGAAGTGCCTCTCCAGGCTCCTCCTGTGCCGCTGGGCTCCTCCTCACCTTGTGCTCTGCTATGGACACCGAGGGCTCAGCTCCTCCCAGCTGCTGCACCACTGTTGCTGGCTTCTGGGCCCAGCTCCTGCAGCACTACTATTTCCCCATGCCCTGGCTCAGCACCGAGGGCTCTTTTAGCACAGGCCCGGCCCTTCGAGCTCTGGCTGGCCATCCTCACACCAGGTGGCTAGCCCAAGCAGCCTCCACTGCACCCTGGCTCCCAAGGCTCGGGCCCATGTGCCGCCCTGCACACCATGGGACCTGGCCACTTGCTGGGAGATGGAGCCTGAGCCGCCTCACCGCAGCCCTAAGGCCTTTGCCCTGTGCGCTGCCCCATGCACCATGGCCCGCTGGCCCTGCTAGGGTTGTGGGCTTGAGCCGCTGCTTGCGGTTCTGAAAGCCTGGGCTTCGTGCACCGAACCGCACACTGTGATGGGCCCGAGCAGTCTCACACTGCTCCCAGGGCCAGGTCTCCGTGAACCATCCCTGTGCACCATCAACAGCCTGAGTAGTCTCGCACCATTCCCAAGGCTGCTTCTCCAGTGGCAGCTTCAGGAGCCTCGGGCCTGTTGCCTGCTGGGGGAGAGCTCCCCAGCTTTTCTTGGCTCCGCTCTTCTCGAGTCCCTCACTGCATCTGCACCCCCGTGCTGGGCACGCAGCTCCTTTTATAGGCTCCAGGGCTCCACCCCTGAAGTCTTCCAGACCTGACAGTTTACAGTCTTCAGTCAGGTCTGGGGGAGCTGTCCCCCCGCCCCCCCCCCCGGAAAGGGGCATGGCTTTGTTTCTCCTGCTGCCTCCTGATTGGTGGATGGGCTCCACCAATCAAAACAGCAGGCTCTCAAGCTTGGGACTCAACCCAAGCTCTGAAAAGTGAGCCTGCTACAGTAACATAGTGACAGTGAGGTAGATTCACGGGCCTAATTCTCTTAATAGCTACCCTGTACATTCAAGAGAAGCTCTATTAAAGTCCACGTAGGTACACCACTATAAACATCCTTAAATAGGAAGGATAGGCCCTCTGTATGCTTTATATGTTCATGCTGTCCATTCCAAAGCTGGAAGTAAGAGTTATCTTAATGGTACAGGCTGTGGGTGATGGGTTCCTTTTCACAACCCTATATGTAGCTCCAAGTCTCCTATGGGAGAGGTGGTTCTTGGTGACGTATGCTGCTGGAGGAGCATGTGAAGCAGACTTTCCAGTAGTGCTAGTCTGCAAACCTCCCTGGATTACAAGAGCAGAGCAGAAAGAGAGAATTAAGCTCATTTCATATAAAAGTGAATGGTTTCATTTCCTACCTGGGAAATCAAAAAGTGAAAAATAGGTGCTGATCTACAGTGCTTCTCACCGTTTACTAACCTTCAGCTGTGAGCTATATCTGAAGCTCTTGAACTCCATTTACAAATATTTCTTAGTAAAAATTCCCTGGCAGCAGAACCTTATGCTTCCACTTTTTTTCATTTTGTGTCACCAGGTCCAACAGATCTCAGTATGAAGAGGCAGTTGGCAACCAGCTCTGGATCCTCCAGTAGTACAAGCTCGAGACCCCAGCTGAGTCCAACTGAAATAAATGCAGTGCGGCAGCTTGTGGCAGGGTATCGAGAATCAGCGGCATTTTTATTGCGTTCTGCAGATGAACTGGAAAACCTTATTTTGCAGCAGAACTGAGTCATGTGATGTTCACACTGGTCTGGTCTTACCTTGGAGTTTCCACTAATGACATTTTGATTTCCCAGAGCAGACACTTCAGTTACTGCACAGTCTTTTAGGAGAGTTAATTACCATAATGCCACACTGTTCTTGATCCATAAAGTGATGTGTTAAGGTTCTTCAAGTGAACTTCGACCTCTGATATTTCTGAGGTACTTTAATGTGTCCAGCATACTGCTTTTTGTTTTAGTGTGTCAGCATAAATATTGAAAAAGTGGCTATAGATTGTTAACTCATTCTGACAAGTGGAGGAAACAGAAGATGCTGTGATGGCAAATATTGGTTCAAGATCCACGTGCAATATTAGTGGAATGTGCTACTGACTCATTGGACTTAAAGCTGCAGTATATGGCAAAACATTGCCAAATGTCCTGTTACTATAGGACAGAATCGCAATTAAAAGGATCTTGTATTTTAAAAAAATGTAATTTTTATAAAAAACAAAACAAAAACTTTTGGTTTCATTCAGAATTTTTCATTTTTACTTTGGTAAACTTTTTCACTGGTCCTACAAATGTTTTGAGGAGCTATTGTAAGTCCCCCTTTTCCTCTCTGGAACCCCTGACTGTGCCCTTGTCTCCACCTTCATATTCTTTCTACAAGAAGTAACTCAATGCTGGATAACCCTTCCCCTGTGTACTGTAAATTCTCATCTTTGGAATGCCTTCCAAAAGAAGCATGCATTTCATGCATTCATGCCATTCTCAACTCCATCCTGTAATATATTGCAGCTTTATTAGGAAATTAATAAAGGGTTAAGGGTTTTTTTAAAAGACATATAACTGAAAAAAATTGATTTCTTACAGCTAGCTCATTTAACTCCACAATCGCTGCTGCTGTCTTGTATAAGTCCCTCTAGTAGTGATTGGATGCAGATGATTGAATGTGAAGAGGTTGCAAGTGACAATCTGAAAATTTGCACTCCTGTGTGTATTTATTTTTTTCCTTATTTAAAGAAAATACATACAGAAAAAGGCCATTGACAATTCTGTTATGATTTGTATAATTCCCACGCCTAACTACGGTAAAAACTGTAAATGGATGCAGCTGCAACTTTAATTAAACTCTTTCCCCCTTCTCCACTCCCCCATTCCCCCTCTATTTCTTATTTTATAATGTTGATTACACATTAATGGTGTTTTCTTTGTGCACTAAGGCAAGCTTATTTTTAAGTATATAGAGAAAAGTACTTTAGTTCTTGCTTACTGTACTGTCTGTTCTGTTGTTTAGCTTTTGTTGAATAACAAGTTCCTTGTGCATTCCTAAATTTGCCTTATTTCATGTAATTCAGTTTTTGACAATGAGTTTAAGGCATCGGTGATATTTTATATCTACTTGTTACATATAGTTTTCCAAGTAATGACTGTGATTGTGACTGAGTAATGTGCACTTTTTCTTGTAACTGTGGACATTGCTATGCTTTTTTTTCTCTAGTGTTTCTAGAATTACTGTTGCTTACAGTTATGTAAAAGAAAAAGAACTTTTGTGATACTGTTGGTGAATATTAATGTGAAAAAGCCTATGAAATATGAGTATTTTGCAGGTACATAGATACACAAACATCTCTACTCTGTGGACTATTGTTCACAAATTTAAATGAAAATTCAAAAACTGAGGGCTGGAATCATTTCCTCTGTTTTGTTTGGGTAAATAAACAGATTTCTGTGTTTAAATACATGATTGTGAAACGTTCTAACATTTAAACTGCTTAGTGAGTTATGAACACTGTTTTCTTTAAACGGGAAAAATGGACTTCCACTGCAGTTCGTACAGGTTCTGCAGTCATTTCTCAAAATTATTAAGCAAATCCAAGAGGGTGCTAGAGCTTTGTTTTAATGAAGAATTTCTTCAATAAGGGCAGAAACAGGTGGTACATAAATCATGACACTAACATTTATGATTTAAACTTGGCTTTAGGCAACAACATTAACTGGTAAAATTTATTCTTAAAATGCATTGAATGTATCTTAATGGCACTTGTATATCAGTGTGTGAACATTGTAAATTAGTTGCTGCCCATCATTTAATAGATGTATTTTCCCATAGTGCAAATAACCATATTCTTGCTACTGTCGACAAGAGAGTTCTGTAGCTCACTCCCTAATAGAGATCATGTGCTTGTCTTTCCCTCTAGTGTCAATCAGGCATTGAAGGGTCAGTGAAAAGCTAGAGGCTTGATGCCAAGCCCCTTCCATTTTTAGGCAATGTCTTCAGGCTCTTCTGTCTCTTTCTGCCTCTAAATTAGGCTGGTAGCAGATGCTTCTGGCTAAGGTGTCATCTCTAGTCCTTGGTTACAAAAGCCGTGGAAGTGAGCACAGTTAAAAAAAGGGCATAATGATCCCAAGACTGTAAGGTCTCTTTAGTCCCCTTTCGCAGGACTGGTGCACCTGAATTGTCTAGCTAGTAAACTCCAAAGTCTACCAAACTAGCTGCTTACCCACAACAATGAACCACATGTGAGTGGTGGCCTCACTGTGCTTTGAAACTCCTTTGATAAATACCTCCTAGATCTGGATAGGCCAAAGGCAAATGAGGAAGAGGCGGCAAGACATTGACTTCAGTACCAGCCCCCATTCACTTCTTTTTCAAGGGGAAGAAGAGTACCCTGAGACCATCACACAGCTCAGTTGAGCTTTTAAGGCCTCCGTATAAGGGTGAAGGGCTTAAGCTGTTCTCCTTCACTGTAGAAACTCCCCAAGGAAGCCCTTTCACCACCATTCTCAGAAGCCTCCAGACTTGTCCCCTACCTGGGATGCAGCTTGTCTCCCACATGACCCCAAATATTCACTAAGTGATATGGCTGGCCCTCAGGAAGAACCTTTATGATTCCTTATCTCGAAAACTGCCTCATCCAGGTTGTGTTCCAGCAGGATGCATGTTTCTCTCAGACATGAATGCCATGTGCCCCCGGTGGCTCGGTGGGGGGCACAGCGGTGCTGGCAGCGGTGGGAGTGTGGCAGCGGTAAGTGGGGAGTTCCTGCAGACGTTGGCAGCGGGGGGGGGAGGTGGCAAGTGCCAACCAGGGGTTGGTGACCACTGACAGACACCACCAGCAATGTCAGCAGTGGCCAACAGTGATCACTGACCACCCGCAGGTACCACTGGCAGTGTCAGTGGCAAGGAGGGGGGTGACAAGCAGCGACCACCCACAGGCCTTTTCATAGGGGGTGAATGGCGACATTCAGGGGGTGCACATGCACCTGCATGCACCCCCTACACATTGCCAATGCTCTCAGAACTAAATCTTGCTAGCAGTGACTTAGAAGTAGAAAAGCTCACTCATTATTTCACAGTGCAGTATGGACTGACTGTAGTCTCAGCTACAGTTTAGCCTTCCCCATTTCCAGGAGGATCATATTTATAAGATTATATATTATATTATATGATTATATTAGAACTTCTGGTGTCTAACCAGAAGTTCTAACAAAATCATAATTCTCAATCCACTCTACATGTGAAAACTGGGTACCCAAGTATCTTGCCACGATTTGGTTCACTGTGCCCTGCATAATTCTCAGACATCTCTGCCCTGAAAGCCTTCCACATCTTAATGAACCAGAACCTCCAGATTAACTAGCCGAGTAGCTCTCTCCCCAAGGGGGAGATGGGTCATTCTGCACAGGAATCATTCAGAACCTTGATTCCTTTTTTTCCTGGGCCTTTTTGAATCCTGACCCCACCCTGTCTAGGTAACCCAAACTAAAATCATATGAACAGAATGCCCTGTCTGCCCTTATGTCTTCCTTCTTCCCAAAGCTCTGAAGGGTTCTAATGAAAGCACAGAGTAGTGGGTGTCAAATAATCCAAATTACTGCAGCGTGATGGAGGAGAGTCTAGTTTGCTCAGCTGCTGTCTTCCTTCTAGGCAGTGCAGATCCATTCCAGCAAGGACCCATTCTTCACTCCTCTCCCCCACTGTTCATATTCAAGCCCTGGTTCGTAAGAGCAGCATCCTTTAAAAATCAGGGGTTTGATCTTCATGCTCTTGGTTCAATAAATAATTGGTTTACTACAGAACATATGCTAGAGGCTCTGCCTGGTACAGGTCCCACTAGGCCCAGCCTAAAAAAGTGTTCTTCCCAGATATACTAGATTTTCCCCACAGTTGGGCCTGCAAGCCCAACCTTTGATTCTTGATACCCTTCTGACTGTTACTAGTGAGGAACTGATGAGGATCTATTCCAACTCACTAGATTTCCTAAGGCCACATCCTAATTTAGTCCAGGTGGTAAAATCCCTCTCATATTGATTCCTATCCTCAAAGGGCTGTAGGCTTATAAGACTTATCATCCACACTGGGAATGCATCATTCAAGCACTCTTTTTCCCTTATTTTTTCCTTACCAGCCAATTGGTTTTCTTTGGATGGCCACTTGTAAACACCTACCTTATTCCTCAATGTGAGGGCAAAGGGACCAGTTTAGGGACTAATCAGATTTATTTGTAGTTTTTGAAGTCACCACAGGGAGAGTGGACATGGAGTACTTGAAAACAAAGTCACTTGGTGTCACATTTCTTGCTTGTTTTGGTGCCTGACTGTCAACAGAGGAAAGGAACTGCCCATTATATATACTGGATTTCAGAACCACTGAAAACCAATTACCAGGTAAGGAAATGTCTGTTCTGCTTACTATTTGCCAGATTCAAAGGCTGAATCCATCACTGGCTGTGTACTCAGAGACTGAGGAACTTAGCCATGTTAGCCTGAAGACAGGCAGAAAGCAAAGCAGGTTTTCTTAGGCTAAGTACAGACAATCAAAAAGCCCGAGACTGAATCAATTAAATCTTCACAGGTTAATCTGAGCTACGTGTATTGAATTGATAAGCAAGTGAACAAACATTCATTTTTGATTCCAGAAATGCAGCCACATGCCTGCAGTGGCTGAGGCCAGCAGCCAGAGGATGCTAGAGCATGTCTCCTTGCTTCATTGGAGCAGACAGCTTGAGCTAAGGCTAGCCCACCCACCCTATGAGAGAGGGTTTGTGGGGGAGATGCAAAGCATCCTGGGATGCTGGGGAACTGTGAGTTAACTTGAAACTAGAGGGGATCTGGGACAGAAGTTTAAATCTGATACTGCATCCACCCAGGTTTATCTTAAACTGGTTTGGGCCATTTTGAAAGCAGTTACTGTACATTGAACTTCTGTTGTGTTACAGATTTGAACCAGTTTCTGATCACCTAGGCAAATTTATGTGTAATTTCTGTCCCTAGTCTTATAGACTAACTGGTTTAGAGAGGCATGAGATTTTGTAGGGTAAGCTTACTTCATCACTATGAAAGTGTGTGAGAGCTAGAAGACTAAGGTCACATCTAAAAACTGTGAAAACAAGTTTGGAGTGCATAATCCCAGGTGTTCCCACTACCTCAAATGCCACCCTTCCACTTCTAACCCAAAGGAGGATGCTTTTTCTACAATGATCAGTGAAATTTCTGACTACAGTTTAAGCAAAACTTTGTCATTTGGCTCCAGTGTTAGGGCCTCCATTGAAAAGAAGGAATAAATCCCTCTTAAAGATACTGACATGTTTTAGGCTATCTGTAGACTTGGTGAGACATTGCTATCCCCATCTTCAACAGATTGGCAATCACAATGAAGAGAAACTTATTTCTACTTCAATCTGATATTCTAAAGGTACAGAAGATGTTAGGCTACCAGAAAAGGTCTATCTTCACGTTCAGCAAATCAAAATAATAATAAAAAACCCAACCACATGAAACAATGCCACTAATCCAAGGTGAGTGATGGCACAATTCAAACAATGCCCTGCATGTGGTGGTGGCAGTGATTATTTGTTATGCAGGTTATGATATTATGTAGAGAGCCAAACATGATCAGGGCCCTTAACAAATATAGTCAGCCACAACTCTGTTCCATAAACTTGTAATCTCTATGGATAAAATTAATGCTGGGGGGAGAAAACCAATGTCACCCAGCAAAACAGTGGCTGAACTAATAATAAAAGCCAAAGATTCTGACTTCCAGTCCTATATTTTATCCAGTAGACCACAGGCTACTATAGCAAGTTGTAGATGTAAGATATAATAAAAGATATAGTTGTAAGTTGTAAGATATAATACTTTGTTCCCTGAAAACTGGTCACTGGACAGGAACAAAAGTTGAGGGTTGGAGGAAGATACAAGGATGGTGTAAGCCTTGAGCTTCCCAGGAATCTGTAATGCCCTTTTAGAGCACTGGAGCAAAACAAAAACACCTGGAAGGAATTATGAATTGGCCCCAAATCTATGCGTAAAGAGTTTAAAAACTGCCAACAATTCAGTTATTTTCCATGAATATAGAAAGATTTGCATTCCACTGTTTTTCGTTCCCTTCCCTAATAATGAATCTTTGGAAACAAACTTGAAAAGTTTTCTAATAATTGTAAATTGATGTGTTTGTCTTGTAAGTACACCTTTGTTCTTATACTCTATTTATCTTATTAAAATTATGTTGCTAGAAAGTTCAAGGAAGGGTCCAGTATATCAAATTACATGTAAATCTATTTTTCCCTGATGCCCCAAAGAAACCATAGATGCAGCAGTGGTATGAATTACACTGGCTAATTAAGTAGTCATTTTTCAAAATACTTACAAAGTTTTAAAAAATATTTTTACTAGAAGTTTTTTGTTACATCCCACTGGAAGCTTAGAACCGATAGCTTTTTTCCTTCATTGTGTGTG